GGTAATTGGAGTGAGTTTGGTCTGAAATCATACACGTGATTTTAAAATCAGATGAGTGCACACGAAGAATTCGACTTGATATTATAAGCATGATTTCAGACCAAAATTGCACGACACGACAAGTTCAATTACCACTTTATGACAGCCATTTTGAAATTTCAAGGCTCAGTCAGTGCCAATAGTTAATTGATCCAGTTGGTGGTTAGTTGAAAGTAAAATCGTAACGCCTTAAAATCTCATTTTGTTTGCGAAACAGAAATGATGCGATTTCTTTCATTTTCATCTGATAATAAGTTTACATACTCTATAAACTCGCTTCATCATTTGACTTCTTTTAGTTCCTTTTACGTCTTCAGTTAAGAACTAATAAGCCAGGCCAGTCAATCTAAGCACCGGACTTGATTTAACATCAGATTATTGACATAGTATTGGAATGATCTTTTCTACACCGTAATTTTTAGGGAGTTATTATAACTCCAAAAATGGAGTAAAAATTTTAGGTACAGGATAACCCCTTTTTTGGGGTTATTTTAACTCCTAATTTAACTCCGAATTTGGGGTCATTTTTACTCTTGAAAAAGAGCTCTTTTTACTCCCAGTCTTGGAGTTAAAATTACTCCGAAATGGGGTTACTTGTACTCCTTACAGGGGTTGTTTTTACTCTTTTTGGAGTTAATTTAACTCTGAAAGTGGAGTAAAAATTTTAGGTACAGGATAACTCCTTTTTGGGGGTTATTTTAACTCCTCAATATCTGGGGTCACTTTCACTCCTGAAAAAGAGTTCTTTAAACTCCTTTTTGGAGTTAAAATAACTCCACGAAAAATAACTCCACTGTAAGGAGTTAAATTAGCCCCACTAGAGGAGTTATTATAACTCCCTGAAAATTACAGTGTAAGTATCCACATCCATTTGCTTCAATTTTATTTTTTTCAGTAAGTGTAGTTTAGAGAAGACACAATTATAGTTCAAAGACCACAAAACGAGTTCAGTAATCACAGCCTTTTTGGTGTTAGTGTTGTTTATGTTTATTCGTTCAAGTATTGTGGGGGAGGCTTTCTTTTCGAAACTGCAAAAGTTGCGTCTATAACTGTGGTGATGATATTTCATCTAATTCTTCACCCTGCAGTTCACATATATGATTTTCATATATTCATAACTCTCATCATCATCCTTTCACGGGTTTGTAAAAACGAGCCAATTCAACGACCTGCTCCCAGTTGGCTGTTGGCTCAATTGGTAAGAGCGCTGCACCGGTATCGCAGAGATCAAGGGTTCGAATACCGTGCAAGCCTGAATTTTTTTTCAGGCTTTCTTTTCGCAACTGCAAAAAATGCGTCTATAACTGCGATGATCATCTTTCATCTACTAATAAGCTTGCTGTGTTCAATTTGAGCAAGTAAGGTATTTTATACCTGAGTACCAGAGATGCTAGTTTCTTAACAGATTTAAAAGACGTTTGATTTGTTGCTTTGATGCAATCTGTCTCTCATTGGTATTTGTTTGACATGTGTAACTTGCAACACTCTCAATTTATGCCATAACCCTTCAGTTTTCTAAGGGTGTGGTAGACTCGTTCATCGTTTCCAGCTTACCCTGTATCACCAAATCGCAGTTGAATCACAGGAAGTTCAGTCTTATTTGTAAGCAGTTCTCTGTTCTCCCGCCAGACATAGTCGTCTAATTGTCAAAATTGCATTCAGAGCGAGGATATATATGCGCATGATTGACTTAACCCGCACAAGCACATCTAAGGAGTATAATTCCCCCCTCCCCAATATGTCATCGCCGTGCCGGTCGCGTGATACCCACCAACCATACATATAACATATAATAATAACATATAAACGTTCATTTGTATTCTGATCCCAATGAAATGTGGCATGTATGGAAAGAAATGTTTCTTGGCTGCGTCGATAAACACGCACCACTTAAATCCAAAAGAATTCGGAAAAAACGATCTCCATGGATTACTAGAGAGTTACTGAGCAAAATCCGAAAACGAGATTTCCTTCAAAAGAAGGCAATCTCCTCCAATAACCCGGCTATATGGGATCAATTTAGGTGTGCAAGAAATCAGACAAATAACGCAATTAAACTCGCAAAAAAACTCTATGTTTCTGACAACCTGGAAGCCAACAAAGGTAATTTGCGCAAAACATGGAATGTTATCAACGAGCTAACTTCACGTAACAGTGGTAAGTCAACGAATATTTTGGAGATCAAGGTAGATGATAAAATAGCAAGTAACCCTTTGGACATTGCGGAAACTATTAACGATCACTTTACAAACGTTGCGCAAGTATTAGCACAAGATATTCCTGTTGTCGATGTTAATCCTGAGTCTTATTTAAAGCCCACTGATCATTCGTTTTCTCTGCAAATTCCGAGTGTTGATATTGTTTCTAACGTTTTGTCGAAAATTGATGAAAAGAAAGCCACCGGTCTTGATATGATTCCGAGTAAATTGTTGAAAATGGCTGCTAATATCGTCGCACCCTCTCTTACCTCAATATTCTCAAAGTCTATTCTCACTGGGATATATCCAAACGATTGGAAAACAGCCAAAGTGACTCCACTTTTAAAAGGGCATTAAATCGGACCCTAACAACTACAGGCCGATATCTGTAATCCCTATAATTTCGAAAGTTTTTGAAAGAATTGTTTATAATCAACTTTTCCATTATCTAGATGATAATAAATTGCTACTAGGTTGCCAATCAGGGTTCCGTTCTCTACATAGTACGCTCACGGCTTTGCTTGAGGCAACAAATGCTTGGTCAGTAAACATCGACAATGGCCTTCTAAATGGCGTTGTCTTTATTGACCTTACTAAGGCATTCGACACCATTGATCATGAGATCATCTTGCGTAAGATGTCGTACTTGGGTGTCGATCAGGCAGCTATAAAATGGTTCTCGTCGTACTTAAGTGGCCGAACCCAAAGATGTAATGTCAGTGGCAAACTATCATCTGCTCGTACCCTCAGTTGCGGCGTGCCGCAGGGTAGCATATTGGGTCCTTTGCTATTTTTAATTTACATTAATGATCTTCCCAACTCCTGCGGGGCGCCGTACCAAGAATGTTTGCCGACGACACCAACCTTACGTTATCTGCTAAGACGTTAACAGAGCTTAAGCTAGCTCTAACCCCTGAATTAAATAACCTTAGCTGTTGGCTGAAAGCTAACAAGCTCAGTCTAAATGTTGCTAAAACAGAGCTAATGATTATTGGATCAAGACAAAGACTATCTGCCCAATGTGACGATGTAGAAATCAGAATTGATGACCAAATTATTAAGAGAGTCGATCATACCAAATCCTTGGGTCTTACCATAGATGCTCAACTCTCTTGGGGTAAACACGTTGAAGAGATTTGCAAGAAAGTCTCTTCAGCTATAGGCGCCCTAAAACGTGTGCGGCCCTTTATATCCAAAGAAACTGCAATTCAAATTTATAACGCTTTAATTATGCCTCATTTTGATTACTGCAGCCCCGTCTGGGACTGTTTGAGTGGTTACTTGAGTGATAAGCTCCAAAAATTACAGAATCGTGCAGCCAGAGTTATTACTAAATCACCCTTTGATGCGAGCTCAAACCACCTTCTCTCCACCCTCAGCTGGGAGAGGCTATCTCTTCGACGAAAGAAACAAAAAGCCGTAATGATGTATAAAACCATGGATGACCTTGCTCCAGAATATCTGCAAAGTCTTTTCTCTCAGCGTCACTCTGCTTACAACTTAAGAAACTCTGAGGGAAGGCTGACCTTGTCCAAATCAAGCACCAATTATTTGAAACGAAGCTTCTCTTACAGCGGGGCCATGTTATGGAATAACTTGCCCAAAAACTTAAAAAACGCTGCATCCGTTGAGCATTTTAAGCGAAATATCAAGAAGGTAGCTGATATATCGGATTCCCACACGGCAATCATGTAAAGCAGTTGTAATTAGTTTTAGTTTTTAACTTAAGCTTAACTGATGATTTCCCGTGTTTAAATAAAGATTTACATACATACATACATACATAACCTATGCTCCCTGGACCACTGACAAGCTGTAATCAAGACATTCGTACTTGATAAAGTGCTCGGCCCAGTTTGCGGATATATCGGCCAGTTTGGCCGTGAATCGCAGGACCTCGCGAAGGACTACGGGAGAACGGCAAGAAGTTAAAAAGGAAATAAGGCAATAGACCGATTGCAAATATGGCGACGATCTCACCAAAGCGAGGCTTTTCGGTAGCAACTGTTGCTAAGGGCTGGTCGCTTGTTCAAATGATAATGCAAGTCCGTTACTATCTTGTTTAATAGCAAGTATTCCTGAGTACGTTCTCCCCTAGACAATAACTCAACTTGAGTTTTCATTAGTGTACCTGTACTTGTACACCTCTTTACAATACATGCTATGAAATAATTGGATTTTGCATGTTTGTCAGCACAGCACAAACAGTCCACATTTGATTTAGACTACCAGCTAACGACAGTGGAATGACTTGATTAAAAATCTGGAAATTCTTTACTTTGTTTATCGCTCTTTCCACGTGAATACGCTCGGACGCAATTTCCTGAGTCGCAATAACTTCTGAAGGGGTCTGTTGACTTCTTAAACCAAGAAATGGGGGGATGTTCAAGCCAACACCAATGGGCTCCAGAAGATCTGAAATAGTGAAGCCTTTGTCAGCCATTACTACATCACCACGGGAAAAAGGTAAGCTGAGTAGCCCCGACCTGACAGTTAACTCTCTATCTGAAATGCTCCCAGCATAAAGTTGCGAAATGAATGTTATATGGCCACTCGGTGCTATGCCAATCAAACCTTTAAATGTCGTATGACTCTTGTACGTAGAGAAAGTTTCACTATGCAGAACCAAAGAGGAAGGGGTTTGACATTTGATTTCTGTCCCATCAATAATAACCCTTGTTTTGGGGTACTTATCCTTGAAAGACTGGGGCATTGCTTTATCTATTGTCTCTCTGTCTGGCCAAATGTTGAGGTGACCGAATTTTAAGTACAATATTTAATGTTAATTGTAGATACATGTACCCTGAACCTATGGGCCAAATCAAGTTCAAATAATCCAAGCCTCATTCTGATAAGGACGATAAAAAACTCGTCCAGAGTACTTAGTTTCCGACGTCTGCCGGGTTTGTTTCCCCGGTTAATCTCATTGGTTGGAAACGCCGGAAACTCTAACTCGTCGTTCGCACTAGTGATGTAAACAATGTTCTCACCATTTTCCCCTGGATTTAAGAAATTGTAGCAAGCCAGTAGTGTTTGATAATTTGGGAAGCCGGTGTAAAAGTTGATGTCCGAGTCTTCACCCATAAATTTTGTTATTCCAAACTGGTTTGCGAGAAGTTCATCGACAGTTTTCGAAAGATGTTTATTGTGAAGTTGGAGCATATTCTTTTCTTGTTCAAGTTGAGCAATGTGCGTACGTAACTGGCTGATTTGATCCACATCACTTTCCGAGTTGCGGTCATTTTTGCTACTGCAGGATGGCTTCTGATCATGAGCTACGGAATCGCTTGGTGACCTCTTACGTGGTGATTTTCGCTTAGGGGATGCTGCCGACCATGAAAAGATAGAGGGAATAGCATCGTCCTTTAAATATCGACGACCAGTCAAGGTTACACGAAAACCAGTTGTCTTGAAATGCAAGGAGCAGATTTTGGTTCGTTCAGTTATCTGAAATGCTCGGAGATACGTATCGTCGAATTTTTACAAGCCACTCCTGAAATATATGTCGTATCGAGAAATATCAGAAATCTGAAACGATAGGTTTAATGAACGATAATATTGAAAGTAGTACCTTCAGTCTTACAGCATCCGATGGAAGGCAATGATACGTGATCTTTTTCCCATCCGGCCCTACACGATAACCACTCTTGCAGCACAAAGGCACGCAACAACTATCCGGCATGGTACTATTTATAAATGTACAGCAAAAATGGCATGCAATCAAATTCTAAAAATTGAAGATCAGCTTTTAGAATGATAATTACATGTGAACCTTAAATACAATGAATGAAAAATATCAGGCAGTCAAAGTATCGCCATCGCTACAAATGACTCTGTCTGTGATCGCTGTGCGTCAGTTGATCGTTCAATTTAGCATAGAAAAACAGTATCCAAAGCGTGTATACCAGATTGAAACCTTTCAGCGAAGAAAATTGACTTATTTTTGTCGAATTTAAAGGAAAAGACGTCTGAGAAGCTGCAGTCTCTCCAGCAACGGCAAGGGTAAACACAGCAACCAGCCCTTAGCAACGGTTGCTACCGAAAAGCCTCGCTTTTGTGAAATCGTCGCCATATTTGCAATCGGTCTATAGGGAAGAAAATTTATAACTTGTAAAAAACTTAACCTATATAAAGAAACAAAACAAAACTACAATAACTAAAAAGAAGACGTGATGTCAAGGAAAAAAGAAAAAAAAGTAAGGAAGAGAAGAGGAAGAAGAAGAGGAAGAAGAGGAAGAAGAAAAACAGGTCACTATGACACTATGCCACTTGAAACACGTTGGGAAGACGTTGATAATATTTTATTAAAAGCCTTTTCCCTATAACTTCCGTCAGCGCGCCTTGTATAAAGTTGATCAAGCTCTATTAAACACGAATTCAGCAACACTTTTTAGAAGAATGACTGCTGTTTTGACGGTGAAAACCTAGCGTAAACGCATTTCATCGCATTTAAAGAACGGATGCCCAACTAAGCCGATGCGGTATAAACTCGTCTGCGAACAAGACGTGTTTTGCCTGGGTGTTCAGTGTTACCTCGAGTTTCGCTCTTATCCAAAATCGTTTCCATTAGCTCTTTAAAGTACTTTCGCTTTCGAAATTCATTGCAACAAGCACTTACCGACTCCTAAAACGACCGCAAAACAACCAAGCACTTTGGTCATTGATGGGAAATCGCTTTCAGTGGAATTGCCCAGAAACTAAAAATGCTTCGGACGTCAAACTACTGTATGACATCATGCCGGACACCATCGGTTTGCAGCTCCTTAAGATCCACGCGCGGTCCACGTACTGCGAGCGCGACGAGATTATGAACTCAGTCCGCTCGGCGCTTCGCGCCTCGCTTCGGCTAAATAAATGAATAGAAGCTTTTGACTTGTATACTTTCTTGTGGTGTTCTTGTGGGGGCCAGACCTTCACTACCATCAGGATTGATGACGTAAGAAATACTAGGAGCAGCAGGATTACAGTGGTTGATTCTAGTGCAGGTTTTGGCTAGAAGAAAGTTTATACTATTATTTTTACGCTTTAATTTCTCTGGCCAGCAGAATAGCAAACAAAGAACAAAATTAGCCAAAATTCACCTTGGTTCAAGTTTATTTTTCTTTTACCAGGGAATTGTAAGGACTATGAAAATGAGTTTTTAATTTGCATATGATTACCTGTGATTATAGAAGGGTGCACAAACTGTAGTCAAGTATCTCATTCTGATTGCAACGTAACTGCAGAGCCACCAAACCAATTATTACTGATCATTTTCACTCCTTCTAAGCTGCGAAAGTTGATTTAAATCTTATGTACATAGAAGCTGAGGACTTACTCATAACTTTAAAAAGCTTTGATAGGGAGAAAGGTGGGTTAATTTTGATGATAATATCATAGGTGACGAATTACTCCTTAACTTTGGCGCGAAATTTGAATAGGTAATAGCATGATTTGTAGTGATATTTGGCATAAATGCATAAATACCAGGAGTGATATTTCAAAATTGTTATACGTAACTGAAATGAAATTTGAGACAATTTTGAAATATCACGCGTGGTATTTATGCCAAATATCACGTACGGATCGTGGTATTATTTGCTTATACTACTACCCGCAAAAGGTTTTACAGGAATTTTCACATTTAGGTATTTCAAATTAAGCTGAAATACCACTGCTCTAAGCCAATCAGATTGCAGAAATTTCTCACGTAGTAGTAGAACTGCGTTAATTTGTAATTTTGCCATGGCAACCTTCCTCGGTGCGTCTCAGTGTCAAGATGGCGACGAAGTTCTATAAAAATGCCGTTAATGAACATGTCATGGCACAAAAAGACGCTTTAGAAAACCTGAACACACGAAAGAGCACATCAAGAAGGATTCTAGCAGGTATTTTGTCAAAAAATTTTGAAAATTCTAAACTTAAGCCAAATTTAAGGTCTTATTACATCCACTTTGAAATCACTGGCTATCCGTGCAATCTGATTGGCTCTCAGCAGTGTGATTTATTCCTAAATCGCACCATTTTTTGCTCTAAATCGCATCTGTTCCAAATCGCGTCATTCATGTTCTAAAACGCATCATTTCTGTTTTAAATCGCACCATTTTTGTTCTATATTGCATCATTTTTGTTTCGAATACAAAATGAGATGTAAAAGCATTTTTGTCTCGGCTTTTTAACAAACCGGCTACTCAATCAATAAAATATTAGTACTGACTAAATTCTGCGATTTCAAAATGGATGTAATAAAGTGGTAATTGAACTTCGTGCCGTGCAATTTTGGTCTGAAATCATACTTCTGATTTCAAATCGAACTCGCGCTGCGCGCTCGTTCGATTTTGAAATCACGCGTATGATTTCAGACCAAATTGCACTCCACTCAGTTCAATTACCATTATTAAACATTTGACTGAGTGGAGTTCTCGATCGATACGATCCAGGATAAACATGTCAAAAGTTCACGATTGCTAAGTTAAACGTAATTCTTCACCCATGATATTAATAGGTAATCAAATGGTATACTCGTGAAATTAGGGAGCCTAAATGCTCGGGAAATTATTACGATTTGTACAAAACGCGCGTGAAATTATTCCCTAATTTCACTCGTCACCACTAATGATGGTGATGATGATGACAATAATATTCATGACAGTGAAAACAATCGCTGACGTTATAAAAGCAGGATAAAAGTAAAGGAGATAATGATTATGTAGATAGAGCTGGTTACTGCACAAAGTAAAGGACATTATACAGTTTAGTGCATTAATAATAAAAACATTCGAGCTTCATTGAACTAATAAAAAGTAAGGAACTTCACATGTGTACTGGTTTTCAATAAATGTTACAAATACTTAATCTTTCAATGGCATCTAAAAAAATTAGCATCCCTTTCTCCTGCCTTCAGAAATTTTCACTATCTCCCTTTTTCCCTTCAAAAAATTTTAAGACCCTTAAAAAATCTTTTGCCTACCCCCCTCCCCTTATGGCGCGCCATCTGTAGCAAAATCCCTTTTCGATGACATAAAACGAAACGTAACGAAATTCATAAAATGTAACGAAATACAACGAAATGAAATACAAATGCCATGAAACAAGATACCAATACCATGAAATCCAATCATCGAAATATGCCCGTTGCCATGGCTAGATAAGGTAAGATGATCTTTTCGAAATGCATTTGTCTGGTTTTCTTTTCTCCCCTACCCTACCCTGTGTGGGAGTTAGTGGGTCATTGTCGTTCCCAGATCTCTCAAGTCCGGGGATTTTTACTGAGACTATTGTGTTCTTTCTTTATCTCTCCGGTGTTTTTTCATTGTCCGCTTTCATTTTAATTTATATTGTAGTCTGGGGAATCGTTTTTGGTACTTTTCACTTTAATTATTAGCTTTTAGTTTGATTTTTTCGTGTTTTTATCTTTGCTAGATAGGTTTGTTTCGCTGCCGCTGCATCATGTATGGTTTCGCACGCGAGCTGTTCCTTCACTCTGTTGACGATGAATTCATCTGCAGTATATGGTAGGTATATACAGAGGATCATACTTCATAGTTTATTTTCCATTGCATTTACACCAGTTTAGTTTATTAGTTAAAGTGGTTTTTAACGTCGGTTTTGCCACTAGGTGTGCTCGATTAAACACTGGTTCTTTGTGTCGTGTACTAGTCACGCCGCAACGATTCATCCTCCTCAGATAATAAAAACAACTACTCAAAGATGGGGTGATATGGCGACAGCGACAGAGAAAAACCCAAATACAATAGTAGAATACCGACTGTGAAATACAAATACTTGTATTCTGGGTAGAATGTATTTGACTGTGAAATATATCTTTAAGTACTTGAGAGGGTTCAATTTATATATTTCGTTTAACATTTTGACGCATGTGCCTTAATATATTCATTGTTCAGCCATGGAGTTTTCAAGCAGCCCATGACCTGCCAAGATGGCCATTCATTTTGCAAAGACTGCATTACACAGTGGCAGCGAGTCAACACCCATTGCCCTGTGGACAGGTCCACTCTTGATCGACCGTTGGTTAGAAATCTCGCTGTGGAAGGTTCTATTGGTCGAAAGCTGATGAAATGCCCATCAACAGTCTCTCTTCCAGGAGGATGCAGCTGGACAGGCTTAGCATCTGCTGTAGAGCAACATCTCCCTTCCTGCGATATGAATGTTGTGGAATGCAAATTTAAAGTCAGGGGCTGTATTTTTCGGGCATATCAGCGTGAGATTGCTCAGCACCTCCTTGTTTGCCCCCATAGGACAGTTAGTTGCCTGTCCTGTGCTCGAGACATCCCACACAGTGATCTGTCAGCCCATGATGAAGAGTGCATTGGCAAACTTGTATCCTGTCCAAATGACTGTGGCGTTGAAGTTGCGAGGTACATTTGCATTGTTCATTCATTGTTTACGGATAAGGTAACCCTGTATATCATAAGTTAAGGGTGACGTGAAATAGTTTGTGGTTGTTGGCCCCAGAAGAGATTACAAAAACTAGTAATTAGTACCAGTGCCTGCTTGCTGCACAGGCTAGTACCCCTCCCTCTTTCTTAATGTATTGAAAGAAATATTTTTCATGTCTGATCAAGAACTAGAATATTCATTACAAATTTCTAGAAAACAATGTGCTTTTTGTTGTGATTCTCAACTAGGTGCAAGATGTTGTCACACTTGGCATTTTCATGTAACAAGGAGGGCCGGCCATGTCCTCTGTACACTGTAGGATGCACAAAGGTTCACTCTTTAGCAGAGTCAGATCCTGGAGAACATGTTAAATTGCTGCTAACTGCTCGTCTATCAGGAGCATACGCTGTAAGTAACTTTTTTTCTATAGTTGAATGTGAAGTTTAATACTAACTCTTGAAGCATGTTCTTTCTTCTAGAATATACTTACAAATCTCAAGAATTGCCATACTATAACTATTTCTTATTTTTAGATGTTGTATAATCTTTGGGTGTGTGTAATGTAGTTTGTTATATTTATATTTATTTTTATTATTTTATTGTTAAGAAGAGAGTTTTTGGAGTTTCCATTCACTCCAATTATCTAGGTATTTAGTCATTCATCTATTTCATTCTTTAAAGTTTATTTTCCTTTTTTTCTAATGCATGTTGTGCACCTTTTTTGTCTTTTTAGGCTTCTGATGCAGGCTTAAATGGTATTTCCTTTGGTGGGTCATGGAAAATAGAAGGCGATGTGGTATTGCCCATTTGTAGCCCATTGTTTGAAGGTCATGCTGCTGTGGTCAGAATGGAAATTTTAAAAGAGAGTGGTATTTCCTTCAAGTTTCAGCTGGAGTCAAAGTTGCAGCTGCCCAGTTTTGCCATTGATTTAAGGTGGGTCAGTAGCCTTGAAATCTTATCGCCTTCTTTAAGAAGTGTTTACATAGAGATTTTTGCTTATATTAATAGCCTCAAAGTTTGGATGGACTGTTTTTCTTTCTTGCTTTGTTTTTAGTATTTGTTTTATATTCCAGTAATATTATATTTCTTGTCATTTTTCAACAACAGGTGCTGTTTCCGTTCTGGGACTGAGAAAGTAAAGTTTAAAACTCCTACACGTCTAATGTGCCAAGACACAACTGCATGTGTTGAAATACATAATGTTTGCTCAGAGGATGTTTTTGTCCAGCTGATGAGAAGTAACATTTTTTTTCGTGGATTTTCTGCTGACCCTGTCTGTTTGATGCTCTGTTTCATACAGAGTTTTCAATTCTGAGAAGATAGAAGGGATAGGTGGCTTTTAGCTGACTCCTGATTTTCACATGTTGTGAATTCAGTTGAGTTTTGCAGCTAATGACCTTTCCTTATTTCTCCAAATTATGTATGGTAGTTGCTGACTCCTGTTCTGTGCAAATAAAAAAAATGTTTGCCTCTTCAGTTGAGTAGTAATTATTGCAGCATTCACCATTTAACAATTCTTCCTCAAGTCCGAATTGGATCTGAGTCGATAGCCCATGAGGCTGACGGCGGATGGGCTATTGACTCAGGGGCAATGAGGGCGAGAGGAATAATAACGATTATTGTTTTAGTAAAATCCAACTAGTTTGCCAAAAATATCGGGACAAAACAACTTTAGCAAGATAACGCTACACTTAAATACTTTTTGCTGCCAAGAAGCCTTTTGCTACTAGTGGGCTTTAACTTATAGCCTAGTAGTAGCTCAAACAATCAGAATGCAGCATTGATAATAGACTACTACTTGGATTTTAGTAATTATTAATAGCCAGGTTACACCTTGTCAACTCTAGTTAGACTCTATAGAAAGCTCTTGTGGCTTAAGTGTGTCACTGAGATGTCCATTTGAAATCATCTGCTAAAGGCAGAGAGACACAGATTAATCTTCTTTTTGTGGCTTTGGGGTGGGGGTGCTGGTGGTGGTGGTTGCATCGTACATGTTTGTACATTTATACCTGGTATATAATCATCATGTCAGTTGACTTTTTTTGTTTGGTTTTTGTTGTCCATGTTGATTTTGCTTTGGGTTATTATATCAAACAAATTAATGGCCATATCACCAGTCAAAATACAATTTGCAGTGTTTCAGTGAACAAAATTTAGCTACAAAGGAATATTTTTGCAGAACAAGAGGAGTGACATTTGAGTCCATTGAAGTACTGGAATGCTATACAAATTGTATATACAGAATGCTTGTCATATGAAAGGATTCTAGGCATATAATTGTAGTTGCATTCCTTCTTTTGGTAATGTAGTATCATTTTTAGAAATTTATCTTACAGTTGTACCTTGTTTCAATACACATGTCTCTAATCTTTGTATATCTGAAAAGTTTGGCCTTCGTAGGATGGGCCTTTAAGAGCTTGAGCCATGGTTCCTACCCAGATTTCCTGCCTTGATTTTTTCCCACTGGGTTTTTTCCAGCAGGTTTTTTCTGGCCTCCGTTCTGACAGTAATGTTGTTTGTAAACTGTCGCTCAGCTCTTCTTTAGGTTATGTACCATATAGTTGATATTAATTATTGACAACAACAACAACAACATCTTTCATTTAAACACGATGGGTTTTAAAGCTAATGTAGCTTATGGGGCTGTGTAAAAAATGTTAATAAAATAATAAAAATTATATTTAAATAAAAAATTTGAATGTGGTCAATAAAAGGCGAGATATGTACAATAAAAGATATGAATAGAATCGATAAAATACGAAATCGCTTAGACGTTTTAGACGTTATTAGAAGTTTCAGTATGACATATTCTTTAAAGTCAATACAGTTCCCAGTTTGTGCTCAAAAACTCAGCCATGTGCTACAACAGTTAGGACAAAAGTCAACCTTGATAATCTATGCTAGTGAACTCGACTCCAAGCAGCCATTATTACCTTTTTGCTCAAATGTGTTCACGTCTTGCAGTTAACAGTAAAACTCTTTCATATATTCTTTTATTGCTGCGGAGCGACCGAAGGGAGCGAGCAGCAACATAATCAGGATTTAAAGGAAATATATAAGGGGCGACGAATTCTCGAATTCATCACTTTTTACCACAATGCATTGCATTGAACCACACTTTTTACCACAATGCATTGCATTTAACCAGAGTGCATTGCGCCACGAACAACTCAAATAAAAACACGGGGACGTTCGGTGGGTGAGAGCATCGTTCGCTGCTCAGACTTAGAGTTTTCTTCGTGGCAAATTTTCTACAGCACGGTTAGCAGTCTTACCAAATTTTAAGACACGCAGGAGTCTTTCAGATGAGTACGATGGTTAACTTGGGGTTTGGATTTCAATTCAAGAGCCTTTTTTGACTCAAGAACCTTTTTTGCTCTTCGACTCCGCAACACGGCGGATATACAAATTCCAGCTTGCTAGAAGGTGATGTGAAAGTGAGAAAATGTCATGCAATGCTATTCTTAAGAAACTGCATGAGCCGAAAGTGGATGTGATGTTGACCATTCGCTTCAAAATAACAGCGGAAATCGAGATAACAAAACATATGTTTTGTGTCCTAATTTGCAGACGAGGACGTGTATCGGCGTTTTGAAAAGCATAATTACGTTCTTTCATTCGTTTATTGCCATGGAATATGCGTTTACATTGTTTTTTCACTGTTAATAGCTCGGTTAATGCGGCTGGCGATCATCTTGCCGGCGGAAGTTTCATGGAAAAGGAATAAAATGAAAGACTTTTCCTAACGACTACGTAATCAGCCTTTGCGGTGTAGTGGTTAAGTGTAGTTGCGTCGATTCGAAGGTGCCGGGTTCGAATTCTACTGAGTTATTTATTCCTTTTTTCTTTTTTTTCCCGTTTTTTGTGTTGTTGTTTTCTATTAATATATAGCTAAATAACTGTTACTTAATAAAGTGCAACAAACAGCAAGAAAAGTATTGTGTTTCCAGAGAAAATATCGTGCACCGTATATTAAATATATGGATAAACGATCTGAATTTCTATTATTTCCTACAATTTGCTGTGGGAAAACCAGAGTTGATAACCACTTGATCATTTTCTAAACAACGTTCCCATGAGTTCTTTCTATAGACTGATAGTAATTATTCTAGTACTTTCCAACATGTAAATAGGACATTCAATGTCATTTTTGATTTTTTAAGTCTCACTGCCTAACTAATGCCAGTATCAACAGAATGTGCCGCAGCATTACTATCTTTTAGATACCCTAGTATGTATGATAAATATATGTTATTCACCGGCTGGTAGGTCCGTATTGGGAGAAACTGTGCCCGAGGTCTTGAGTACCCAGACCGGTACTCAGACCGAGGGCACAGTTTCTCCCAATACGGACCGATCTAGGCCGGTGAAGAACATTTTTATTTTTTTCCAACTGAGATTTAAAAGTTTCAGGAAATTTTTCCTGCACTCTCCAACCTATGTGCAGTTATAAAAGTGGTACGCGTTCGTGTTGATGAAGCGCGCGATCGATTGCAAACCAAAACAAAACATCATGATTTTTAGCTCGGTAATTTTAATATATTATGGCACTTACTGCTCTCTTTAAGAATGAAGAAAAGTTTTTGTGTCTTGCTAGACAGTTCTTTATCTGAGTGTCAAACAAGGATAAAAGAATTGACGAACTTAAAAGCCACAGGAAAGAAAATACAGCAAAGGTTTTCTTTGTCTGAATATTTACTTTAAAAGATTAATAATTCAATTGAGCGGGGTAAAAACTGTACAAAGGCTTTATAAAAAGAGCTAATTTAACATACCAATCTTAGGGTTTTGAAGTCAATTCGAATAAAAGGAGGCGATGTGCGTAACTAAAAAATTATATAAACAAAGAACTAAAAAGTGCGATAACTGACGGCTGGAAAAGTCGTTCGTGTGGTTTATTCAAGATTGAAAGCTTCATGAAATCGTTGACAACAACCTTTTCTGAAAAGTAGAAAACTAGCGAGGCAAACTTGAATTCAATGAAAAACGGCAGAATCTAGATTCAGACAGCAAAAATGGAAAACAAACCTACACTCCGAGGAAAAATGTCGAATAAACGGTGCATGAGAGCCAGAGTGTAGTACTTACAGCGTAGGTTATAAAGCTAGTGAAGCGACATCGCGAGCTGCCTGTTTTGTTTTACTTTAGCGGTTTTCCTGGCTCACTTGTTTGATTCTCCTTTCAGATGTTTTGTCTGAATAACAAAATTCACATTTCCCTAGCTAATGCTAATAATAGCGCAAGTTTTAAAAGAAAAATGGTTCTGAATGACCGGTTTTGCTCATTCACAAACAACAAACAAAATTGTGAATGAAGCTGCCACCAGGGCGAATAAAGGTTGGATTGCTCGGACGCGCTCGTTTCACCGCCCAACCTTCATCCGCCCTGGCTGCCACTGAACGATTCCCCCCGGGTTAGCGGGCAAGATCGTAAGAAAACCGCCCGCTCTCGGAACCAATCAGATTGCAGGATTTGGAGGATTCCGCCCGCTCGCAAGCTTAGAAGAAAATAATTAGCCTTTCTGGCTTCGATAGCATGTGCAAATACAAACGAATATGCCTAGAAATTAATTCTTAAGATTTAATTTGTTGTTGCTTTGTCAGTTATCAGCTTGTTAAAGCTCCTATGTCTTTTACCTATTTTTATTTTTATAGTTTTATATTAGTTCAAAGTAATTACAATTTTTCCATTTTTATGGAAAAAACAAATGTGACATGGTCAAATACTGATTACAGCCTAGAAATTTTTGTTTTCATCCTGTTACTTTAATACGCTTTGACGGTTGTTTGTCAGCGACAGAATGTTACCCATATAAAGCTTGGCGCAGGAACCTATCAGGTATTTCTCCTACCAGGAATGTAGCTTTCATGTACGCACGCACATACTCGTATGCATACAGCTGAAATCTAGACTAAAAAATTATAGTTTTTTTTTCGCGACAGCATTTTTATCATTGAATCGGGA